GGGTGAGACGTTGTTGAAACAAAAAAAGTTATGCATTCCATCACGTACATAAACAGTGTCGTAATTCGCCAAGTGCAAATCAGCAAATTCGTAAAATTTTTGTTTATTTTGAACAATCCGGATAATCGAAAATCCGGATAATAGAGGTCCGGATAATCGAGGTTCTACTGTATTATAAAATATGTTCTACTACTCATTAACATTTAACATGCTGAATGCTGCAGTCCATTTAGTATTCAAATTTGATTATTAACAATATTATACTGTACTTATATGTGAAAAATAAATCCAAAAAAATAATTGCATGATAAATGACCGGCAGGAAAAAAAAAAATGTTTCAGAATTTTAAAAATATGGATGTCCTTATAAGAAAGTTATAGCAAGCACCTATCATTTTGTACAATTTGTATCAAATATTTTACAAGTTTCAAGCTACTGAAAACATTTGGAAACAAATCATCCAATGTACATTGAAAAAACTTATATTTCTAAAAAAAAAAAAAAATAACTCAAATGAAAGCACTGACAAAAAATAAAAAACACAGCAAGCACATGGACAGCACTGTCAAAAGGCAAGACAGCTGAGAGCTCTGCTAGTTGATGCATCATTCTGATTTTTGAAGAATCAGAAATGCAAACAGGATTATTTTTAAAAACATTATTGTAACAAGTATTTAATAAAACTGAAACTAAATATAGATTAAGTTATATATGATTTAACAAACTACTGTCCAAACATAAATCTTCCATCAAATTGATTTTGATAAGTAACTATTTTTATTTAATCTAAATAACTAATATGCTAATATCAATTAATACTAAATTCTACCTTTATTTACCTGATAAAGAAACAGCAACAGATCCAGTAATAATAAGATCAATTTTTATTTTAGATTGTAAATCTATAGAAACACTATATTCCTTCACTCCCTGAAAAGAAAGATATAAATGTATATTAAATATACTTGTATAGACTTCTAAAACAGTAACAGTTTTTTCTTTACATACTCTTGAGGTTGAGCATATCCTTAACATATTTTTGTTACAACCAAGAGGAGGCACTATTCTATTTAATAATCCCGACCTGAGACGTGGAGTAGGAACAAGCAACGTTTTATTTGCCTAAACAGAATAAATATATATCGTTTAGTCTAACAATAAATTATTTGTTGAATGTTCATTCTAAATATTTTGAGTCCGATTGGGTGTCTGGATCCCACATTGACTATATTCTGTCAGCACCAGAACCCAGGCTGCCTTTGGTTCTGGCAAGGATCCAGCAAACATTGGACCCCAAAAAGTGAGAAGTAGAGTCATCAACACTAAACTACCCACCACCCAAAATCCTCAACCAATGCAGGGGAATGCTTATTGTGATGGATGATCCTTCTGGGTTCCCAGCTGTCATATTGTACAACTCTAAGTTAAATGTCTCTGCTCTGCCAAAATGGCACTACAGAGTACTAAGAGACTAATAAGCAGTTGGTCACCTATGGTAGTATTAAGGCGACTGAACTAAAGAGTCAGACTGAGTTATATACTCAAGCTACAGCATATGTCCAAGTGGAGATCAAGTTTTCCTCATCCTCAAGTGCAACCCTCTTACCTTGATTTACAGTTTAGTGCATCTTGTTCTGCACTTTGAGTGCTCTATCTAAGAAAGGCCAGCTCATATATACGGTCAGCAGGACCCCTCCCTCTTAGAAAAGAGGGCCCTGCTCAGTGCATCCACTGAGCTTATAGGTCAAAGAGATTTATCACAATTTCCATCAATTCCTTTAGGGTCCCCACTGCCCGAAGACAGTTAGCTGTACCTGGCAACCACCCATCAAAGATACCACTTAGCTATCTCAGGAGGGAAATGCAGCACTGTGTTTCAATGCAAAGTCAATGTGGAATTCAGCTAACCAGTCCAGCTCCAATATTTTTATCCAGTGCAAGGCAGGAAAACATTACTAACTTCTAATACAAGAAAACGAACATGTTCCTGCGGTTTATCAGGATTTACTTTAATTACACGAGTCCTTTTAAATTCTTCCAACTCGGCAACCTTTGCAGCAGCTTCATTAGCACCCTAAAAATATTAATTTAACATTAATTACAGTTTAAAATTAAAGTCATAATCGTTATTAATAGTAAAACAAAAAATGTCTTAAATAAATTACTAAAATAGCTACTTTACCTTAAAGTTAGGTATTCTATGATACACCGGCCTTGGAAAACAAGCCAGATCGTTCTTTTCTAAATATGTCCATACTTTCTGTCGAATTGATTCTTTAGTAACAGTAATAGTCAAACCGGAATCGTCGTCTGCTGAGCCTGTTACCACTTCCGCCATAACAGCAGAGTTAATATCATCAATGTTGCCAGTAACAGTAAAAAAAAAAAAAAAAAAACATAATTAAGTTGTAATTTATAAGAAGTTAAAGTGCTATTTAAACGTTGAAAAAAGTTTGCTTATCAGGGGCGGATTCAGGAATTTCATTTAGAGGTGCACTTCGTGTGAATATCGGTATCCAAAATCCGATTATTTTTAGTATCAAGACAAGAAAATACCAAATCATACTACCAGAGTCGGTAGATTACAGTAGCGTGCCGTCATTAGAAGCGTTGGAAGCGCCGCTTCCCTCGTATTCTCTAAAAAATAAATAAATATTAATTTTAATTATATGAAAATAATCGCACAATATTTTATTATAACCGCATTATGTATCTTATTACAAATTTCTATACTACACGTGGAAAAAAACAAAACAAAAAAAAATTGCTATTGTATATTAGAATATTAGTGACGGAGTGTAATCTCCTGTATTTTCAGATTACGAAAAGC